AGTACATACTTCTAAATCATCGGCGTATAAAAAACATAGACACGATAGTTGGGTAATGAGGTCGTTAAAAAAAACTATGAAAAGGAGAGGACAACAATGTAAACCCTGAGGTACGACCCTTCAACGCGAGTAACTGGCTTCTCCTGTTAAAATAACACTTGACTCACCTAAACAAGTTTCCATGTACATACAAAATTTCCTTTTTTTGACAAAGTAAGGAGTGATTCATTCTATCAAACGCTTTCGAAAAGTTTGTATAAATAGAGTCTACTTGTCCTCTTTTGGCAAAAGCACTACATAAATAACTTTTGTATTTTAATAGATTAGTTAATTTTTTTAAAGTCATCACTTAGTAATAATTTAAAGTGGTCATATAAAGTATCGTAAAACTTATAAATAACTTCGCATAACAAGGCAAAATACTAATAGGACGATATTTATCACAAAGTGATTTATCTCCAGACTGGAATACGGGAACAATGTAAGCAATTTTCCAGGAAGCAGGAAATACACCTGAAGATAAAAACTTATTAAATAAGATGCCCAAAGATACTAATATCGTATTGACACGTCATTTAATTAATAATGCAGGAACTCCATCCGCACCAGCACCTTTATAGTCATCCAGTACTTTTAACTTCTTAGGTTCACTTATGCTTATCGAACTAATAACATGATTTAGATTTATATTAGCTATACAAAACTGATCCGAGATATCTTCGGTGGATGCGTCATCACTATAAACAGAGCTGAAATACTGTGCAAAAAGTTTAATTATGTCTTTACTGTCTGTTTTGGTTTTTATATTTTATAGTAGATGGAAAATAGTTAAATGTTAACAGTCAGCGAGTCCCCCCGCCGATGTTACATATACGGTAACAATCTTCGACAAATCTTTTACTTATAGCTCGTAACATCGAGTAAGTATCATAGCCACGTGGATTATTATGTTTTTGAAATAATTTATGATACTTACTATTTTCCTTTTAGCATTGTCTTAGGCTATTGCTAAACCAAGGTGGAAATCCAGACAAATCCCTCTTAACTGTAGATGTGTTTTTTGTAATTAGTTCAATAATTTAATAATAAAACACGTTTACATCATCATTAATATATTTTCAATTGAGAATCAAATTGTAACACTGGAAAATTTGATGTTGTTTTATTTTAACTTTCACAACATTTTATTAGTCTTGTCTAGTAATGTTCATTGATTGATTGATTTCTAAACATTGTTTTTAGGATGTCAACTTATCATATTTTTCTGGTAAAGCCATTAGGGCATAAAAATTGTTTTCACTAATCTAATTTCATTATTCCTTAACCGGTGACAACATTCCACTCTTATTTACCAGTCTATCAACCACCAAGATACAAAATAGAACCATTAGTTTGTCTCAAAATTATAACTTTAACTATTTTCTCATTTGCTTCCATTAGAGATAACCTTATTAATTTTACAAAATAAAATTGAACCTATTGTTTACAAAACACCAAAGCATTTCTGGCACTTCTTTTGCACACCGTTTCGGCATCTTTTTATTTACTTTCATTTATAATAAATTTGCAAATCTTTGTAATCTCAAAAACTGCACGGCCAGAGAAGCTAAAATAGCAACCACAAATCTGATTACCCATTGGAATTACTCGGAAACTGAAGCTTTAAATAAACTACTTTTATAGTGATACACACCCACACACACACACACACACACACTCACACATTCTCACGTCTTAATATATCCACAATACCTACTCTTGTTTTGTTTTAAAATAATTTAGTTCTTAGTTTTGTTACTACCAAAAACTGTGTTTTTTCTTTTTTTTTTTGTTGTTTTTGCCGTTTCGTTCCATAGTTAACCGTTTAATTTCTCTTCAGGTCAGGCTTCGCCTAGTGATGGGAACAGTAAATGTATTTTTGTAACTTTAAAAATATGGAAATAAATAAAATAAATAAATAAAAATAAAAAAATTATTTTGACACTTGGTGTACGTTCCGAAAGCCGTAATTAACCTTAGAACTTACCTTTACATATTTATATTTTCTTCCAAATTAAATTTCTTTTCCCTATTTTTAATAACAATTAAGTAGTATTTGACCTTCTTTATAGAATATGATCAATTCGTTAAAATTAAAATGAATAGCTATTTCGAAAACTCACTTTTTTATAACAAAATTATTAAATCAGACTTCAGGTTTTGGAACGTTGAATTAAGAAAATGAAGCAATAGTGTGAAGTTGTCACCTAGTTATATTCCTTTGTATGCAGGGTTTTGTCAGTTTTTTCATGCATATTTGAATGTGTCCTATAATTTTATTTTCAATTCAATAAAACATAAATATTTTATTTATGTATTTTCCCTATTAAATTTTTAAAGGTCAAAATTTGTAGCCATTGTGTGTTGTCCGTGAAACGGAGTTGCTTCATTTAACAGCTGTTCAGGTCGCTAGAGTCGAATGGAAATGGAAATCGTATTTAAGTCGGAACCCGGCTTTGTCTTTCCTTTTGTTCTGCTGATCATCTAAGAGTGAAGAGAAGTCTACAAGTCTACCGTGTCTCGGCTCGTTTTGTTGAATACGTGGGGTAAGTTTCCTATTGTCTTATTTTCGAACTTTTTGTAACCCTTGTTTTGACATTGAATTCTTTGAACAAGTAAAACGTCTTTTCCTTGTTTTCTTGAAGAAGGACCCCCACGAGTTGTTACCTTGATAGGCTTGTGATCTAAGACTTTCCTATGGTTCCACAGCTTCCATTCGTGGTGATTTTGAAGCAGGGAAGGCCGAGCAGTGCTGCGGATTTGTGGGCGCCGGTCGCATAAGTGTTTCTTGTTGTTTTTCGCCTCTCAAACCGTGAGTACCATTTTCGTGCATTAACGTGTAGAATCCTTATTTTCTTGATTATCATATTGAACAGATAATTCTTTCCCTTAGATTGAATCGTGGCATTTTGGTCAATAGTAAAGTGTTTGAACTACCCATATATATTTTTCTTAGTCACCCTCATAAATAATTAAAACTTTTCATGAGTTGTTAGAGTCTGTATCTTATTAGTTCTAATGAAATAAAGTAAAACAATTGAATTACTGGTAAATTTGAAAGTGAATAAATGTCCGCTGTCTGCGACGGACTGAATATTATATAGTAGATGTACAGCACTCTTGTCCGATACAGGAGAGGCTGTCTGGTACTGGCTGTATTGTACTGGTTGTCTGGTACTGGCTGTATTGTCCTGACTGTCTGGTACTGGCTGTACTGTACTGGCTGCCTGGTGCGAGTTGTCCGATACAGGTTGACGGTACCACCAGTAACCGTATGTAAATGCTATATCGCTCCATGTGGATGGGTATCTGTGGTTTGACCCACCTACATTACTGAGCTGAATAAAAAGGAAGACCTGATTGTTTCGCTGTTGAGGTGGATGAAATTTTATTAAATTTATTTAAACAAAAGACAAGCTGAACATTGAGCTGTGCCCAACTATTATTGTGTTTAGTAGCATTAAGTGTTATAAATGTTATTTTATGTCTACGAATTATAACGCTGGACAGTGAGACCGTAGGACAACAGACAGCCCCCGGTTTGTTGTGTTGCCGTACTCCTTCTGAGTACGGCAGCGAAGCCAAGGTCAAAATATACCCTTTTATTTTTTTTACTTTTAGGGGGTAATTGGTAATTTGTAATTGGTAATTTGTAATTTGTATAAAAATTGTAATTGAATTTTAAAATTGTTATTTCAAAAAACTTCATTTATAAATAAATTGTACACAGTTTATATTTCTTAATTTTTTTTCTTCTCAAACCAAAATAAAGGAGAAATCCGTTACAAAATTCCTTTTAAATTCCGTTGAATTTAAGGACGATCGGATATAATCATTTACAGTACATACTCGTAAATGAATTGACATTGAATTGACATTGGCCTAAATATACATAAATTTAACATAAACACTAAAGAAATATATACACAAGTTTCAAAGGAAAATTACATGTATGTCAAGTTTCTTTGTCATAATAAAGCCTATAAATTGTTCGCATTGTTATTAGCATTCGCAAAAGCTGATATTAACTGGTGACCAAAAATATACATACGTCCATAAAATGAAAATCTTGATGTAAATATTGCGCACAGCGTCGTAAGAGATAACCTGGTACCATTATTTCCCGGTCCCAGATAAAAATGCCAATCAGGTATTCAAATCAATGTCGAAAATGATGTATTCTATATTGTCCCGGATTTAAATGTTGACGTACCTGCGTTATTTCAGTTTCCATAATAAAAGTGCTTTCGCTACTTATTTCGCATCTCAAATGTCATATTGTTTCATTTTTAAAGACAAAGTGAAAGCGAGAGGAAATCAATAAATCAATCAATAAGTGTTCAATTGTATGATATCGCATCCAACGTGTAACCAGTCAAATAAGTATTTCGCTTTTGCATTTAATAAAATAAATGAGTTTAGATATAATAAAGTACATAAATTAATATTAATATATAATAAATAACTTTATTTAGCTCAAGATTTTTGTACGCATAGATTCAACGAGCACGAAATCATTTTTGCAGCCGAATGCGAAAACGGTGGACGCGATACGGAAAATTTTGTATCATTAGAACTTTCTATGGGCACACTGTCGGTCAACGACAGTTTTTTTATATCAAACATCTGGAAAGGTCGACGCCAATCCAATGGAAGATCCATCAATTGTCTCATTAGGCGTTAGTATACGATATATAATATTAATATATTCTTGATTATCAAATCACACGGTGGCTACGCCCGGTACAAGAAGATTTTCAACCGAAAACTACACCATAAAAAACGTTCAGTTAAACTAAACATGGAAAATTCTAAAGAAATAAAATAACTCCGTCACTATCTTATAAACTAATCATGAAAGGAAATGGCGATTCATTAGATACTTATAAATTCACTCTATGTTTAAAGCTTTTAATGTCAAAATAACCAGCGAGTTTAAAAATAGTTAAAAATTTACTCACCCCGATGGCTCCATGGTCGCCAAGGAAACGTTTTTGTCTTCCATCTACTTGGCAAGCAAGCGAATTCAGCAGATATATAGCGATACGCTGTACGAATCCCTCTTGGTTAACATCAGACACTCCATTTAATAATATTTGAACAACGCGTTCATATTCAAATAACTGTAAATGTTAAATAAAATAAAATGTAAGTATTATCTAATAAATATGGCACATGGTGAATCCACGTTTGCACAGAGCAGAGCCGACCTACGTTGGACGAACTTATGATCAAAATTTTATAACCTTGAGTTATATAATTATGAGCCTGAAGGTGCTGTGGTTAGCGCGCTCGGTCTGCGATACTTACTACATCCGTGGGAATTTTAAATTGGCACAAAGTCAAGCATCCGTTTCTCATCATAGTGTCATCCCCGAGATGAGCTTCCATCCCATCGAGAAGAGCAGTGATAATGCGCCGCTTCAGTTTAATGCCAATACGATCTTTTTCTTTTCCTTTCACTATGTAAAACAGAGTGGCGCTGAAAAAAATATTAAGTTTAAAATTTATATATATCAATAAATATTATAAAAAATATATATACTGCTTGGTTTATCCTTTTTTAAATGCATATATATTTTTGAATATATTTATTGACTTTACAAATTTTTTGTTGAATTGAAAATAAGCCATTTTTCACAACATGAGGTACGTATTGTACATATTTAAACAAACAACTTATGTGATCTACAGCACCTCAAAGATTCACTTGTCTAGTTTTCACATGTAGATTTTAACTTTTTTGCTTTATTTTACTAAAAATGTGTTAAACAATTTTGTATATAAATGTTTCAAGATCATCTACTGAACTTGGCACTCATTTACATATCAATACTTTTGTTGACCGACAATCACACTAAGTTGAGTTTCTAGACACATTTAACTTGCTTATTAATTTTCACATTTATGTTTTTGGTGGGTAATATGAGCACTAACCCATAGTTATAACACCAGAAATGTTTATAATGAAGTAACAAACCTTCCTGATATCTGTATGTGCTTCTCTGAAACATGTTGATCCATGGCATCAAGGACTACAGAGAGAGCTCTGCCAACATATGCGTTGTTTTCATACCGGAACAGGTAATAGAGATCATTTAGAACGCGTGTCAACATTGCTGGTCTCTCCATATAAACCACAGCAGCAGTCAGAATCTGCTCTTCATTAGCATCACCCGAGATCTGTAATATAAATTGACGATTTCTTACTGATTGCAGGATATTCTGACTGCCAAGAAGATAATGACATTATGTAAATCGCTATAAAATTGGAGAGAGGACTTGGTCCTTGCTTGTAGCACAGAATAGGTACAGGACGCAATATACTTATTATAAATTGCGCTAGAGCAACATAGACACCATTCACTAACACGATATCCCAGATCAGTAGAGATCAGTAGAGTAGAGACCACTGCAAGCACTAGTGCAACCCGCTTGGGGTCAGTTAATTATTTTGTGCAAAAAATGAGCATATAAAAGGTTCATAATAACTATTGTTTAATTCCAACATAAAAAGGTGAATTGTCGTTTTTGTACCTCATAGTTCTGTATATAAGTAATTGCCTGTATTTTCTATGTGTACCTTACATGTACAGTTAGAAATTTTTGACGGTGACGACGATCTAGCAACATATACAAGTATGTACATCCAATGCTCGTAGTATTTTGCTATTGTCAATTGGGCGAACCTACAAAGAACCTAGATCCTAATTAGTTGTTCATATTTTTGTGATTAATGATGGCGAGAAAAATGTATTTCGTGAGGCGGTATCTAAACTCGATTTATATGATAGTATTTTAGTTTCCATTAGTATAAATAAAGAAAACATTTGTAAGTTCATGATACCGCAAAATTTAATTGTGATATCTTTAGACAAAATCTTAAAAGTATCTATTAATTTACAATACAAAACTACTGTGATTTTGATAGACAGGAAGTTGTGCTAGTCATTTTTTAACCTACTTCAAACAAAAAGGAGATTATCAATTTGAGGTATATGAATGGAATGGCATAATATTCATAAATGTTTGTTTGTATTGACTTCTAAACATGTGTGCAAAATTTTAGAGATGTATATATGTCTATATATATATGTTTGTCCACGAATATCTCACAAACGAGACTTCAGATTGCAATGATTCCTTTTTTGTTTAATTGCTTAGTTTTCAACTACACTGCAAGTTTCATCAAACTCAGCAGTTTTGAAGATATAAACTATTATAATATAAAGTACTTAAGAAACGAGTAAATTTTAACTGTATATCAGTTAAGAGGAGTTTCTTAGTTTTAAACAACTTCAAAAAACAAGTTATTAATTAGACCTGTACTAAAACCTGACCTGTAAAGGGAGAAATAATTAAATTTGATAACAAAATAAAAATTATTTAAAATATGTTTTATATTGGTAATGTTAGAGTTTGTTTACTAAATTTCTAGTTCCAATATTGTATATATTTATTAATTGATTCATCATCATCAGCCCTTCTACGTCCCCACTGCAGGGGCTCAGGCTTTCCTTATGGATGGTTAAGGAGGATGGGCCATGACCCTCCATGCTGGCCAATGCGGATTGGAGGGTATTAACGACTGCAAATGCAGCCGGGACCAACGGCTTAACGTGACTTCCGAAGCACGGAGTAGCTCGAGATAATAATTTTTGGTCACCCATCCCGTGACCGACCCTTGCAAAAGTTGCTTAACGACAACAATCGCGGGCCGCGGCACTTATATACTACGCCACCGAGCTATTAATTGATTATTATTGTTTAATTTGTCTTAATTAAATTATGTTTTAACAAAGGCTAACAGTATTTATTGCGCACAGCGTAAAAAAAAACTGAAATAATCATAAATTAGTGATTCAATATCATCTCTATATGCTGCACAAAAATTGTCAGTACAAGTGCTCAGTTCTAAAAACTATAACTTTAATTTTAAAATTTTTGAACTTGCTATCCTATTAATATTATAAATGTGAAAGTTTCTTTGTTTGGATGTTTGTCGGTCAATCACGCCGAAACTACTGAACGGATTTAGATGAAATTTGGTATATAGATAGGGTAGATATTAGCTGACTTAGATAATAGGATACTTTTTATCCCACTTAACATTTCCCTAGGGTCCACGCGGGCGAAGCCGCTGACGAAAGCTAATACATTCATAAAAATTAGATTTCATTTATTTGATAATGGATATTGAAATAAAAGTAATTAATATATAATATCATAAACTTACGTTACATTTTTAAGAATATAAATAATAAGAATAAACATTAAAATATAAGAAATAAAAATATATTTATTTATAATACAATAAATAATTATATCACAACACTTATCTAAACAAAAATTTCAATAGTGAAGGATAATAAACTAAATATATTGAGTTGGTGACAGACATTAAATCCAAGCAATTAAAGGTTATGTCTCTAATGTGGGTGCGCATCACTTGAATATTGAGTTTTTTGCTAAATCATCGTATCGGTGGAGGACTGCTGACTACCACTTGCCATTAAACATGATCACTGCCTCACCTGCTCCAATTTTATTAAACTATTTCTTACAATATTTCCTGCTAGGGTGAGTTTTAGTGTTTATTGTTTCAATGTACTAACATTACCTATCTTTCTGGATGTTCAGGAATTATGTACTTATCACCTGAGGATGTCACCAGCTTGGTGAAAGTGCCTGCAGCTATATTTTTAAAGAAACTGAACTACTAATACCATTATATAAGCGCTAATGATTTTTTTTTTAGTGAAACCAGAGTCAATGATTTGACTGAGTGGAAGACTGTGTGATCTGAAGGACAACCAAGGGGGACGAGTTCAGCCAGTGTTCCTTCTGTACCTTTTCGCAACCGAGGCCAAAGGCGGCCACACAAATGTTTATTTAAAAAAAAGGGAAATAATGTTACATTATTTGAACCTACACCCTATCCCTGTCTATCTGGTCAGCTTGCTTGACCAAGGACCACATACAGTCAAGTTTTCTATTTAACCTGTGTCCAGTAAATATAGGTTTTTGTAGTTGGCTATATTACTAAGGCACCATCAATATAATCTAAATTACTTACTTAAGCAGTTATTACATTTTTAGTTGATAAAATGATTTCATCAATGCGCATGTATTACGTTCCTAAATTTGTCAATCAAAATAACTTCAAAAACAATTATTGGACATTTTTTATTAAGATCATTTTCCGAATTTGCCATATTTTTTATGCTACTTAAAAGTAAAGAAAATTATATCAAAACACCAAAATCTACAAAGTGTAACAAACTTACCACTTTAGCAGGTATATCATGCCTTTTGCATGCACCATGATGTGTTCCATATAATCCCAAAAACTCTAATGGTCTGTCTACTCGGCTAACCAGCCCAGGAATATCACATCGTACTTGAGGGTCTGCCTTGTTCATCAATATTGCTGCTGCCCCAGAACCAGCTAAGTTAGTTCCAGATATATCAAGAGACTCTAACATTGGCAATCTAGTTACAATTTTGGATAATACATCATTGGGATTGAAATATTTTCCAAGTCTTTCCAGAGACTGTGATATGTCAAGATGTCTCAATGACTCCAAAGTTACTATCCAATCAATAACATCTTTTGCCCAATGGACACCATATAAAATTAAAGATTTTAAGTTCTTCAATTCACTCAATGCCCAAATAGAACCAGGTGAAGAGCATTCTGACAAATCCAAGAGTGTGAGTTGTGTCAAGGGTTTCAGCAGTAACAAAGGAAATATAGGAAGCCCACGGCAATGAATAGTAAGCCTCCTTAAATTGGGTGCATCTATAATGAACCCACGTTGTTTGAACAAATTTTCATCTTGTGAGAATATGTATGTCATTGGCCCAAACTTCAGAGATACTAAATTCTCACTGTTGCTGTTAATAATATCTAGAGCACCATGTGCGAGATATTCGCATTGGACCAGCTCCACCTCGTATGGCTTATGTTCCAAGAGACATTTCAGGCCATCATCTGTTATACGCGAATTTCTTAACTTCACTGTGTTTAATCTAGTACGGCTGCGATCGCGGAAAATATTAGCAATATTATCGTTAACTCGATTTACTTTTTGATAGGATTCCAAGAACTTTTCACAAATTTCGGAGGGTAATATAACATCATCTTTCAGTTTACGTCTGAATATTGGTAACTGAAATATAGTTATTGTGTTTATGTTCGCAACAATGAAATCCATGCATATATCTAGCAGAGAATCCGGGCTGCTATCATATAACGACAAAATTTCTTCGGACGACATTGTTGATGATTTTTCCAATACTTATCAATAAAATGTTGTCGAAAATAGAAAGGTTCGAGATGGTACAATTTTATAACTTCCTAGTTGCACTTATCTTTTAGGCCCGCCACAGAAATCATCTTCATCTATTCACTACAATTAAATAAAAAACTTTTTCAAGCAATAAATATGCTTAGAAATTGACACAAACGTTCTTTTTTTATATTGTGAAATTACGGTAGACAAATTTTCACTTCGCACGACGCAACAAGAAATGCACGAATGAGACAGTTTCTTTTCTTAGTTCTTTTTCTCATTTTTTCGAATGGCAATCCATTTTATCGTTCAGGAATTTTTTTTTTACTGTCATTTTAAGATTTCATCAAGAAGTTGAGATATTGTCCATTATTCTAATATTTATCTAAGATTCATCATATGTTCGTTTTTTCCATACTTTGATAGTATTAAAATATGGAAAAAACGGACATATGATGAATCTTAGATCCTATAGGGTTATTTCATTTATAAGAAATAAAAATAATAATAACAGGGATATATTATTTTCACCTGATAATCTGATAATATTATATGATATTTATTATGAATGAATACACATTATTGCGTACTAATGGAACTAAAATAATAATTTCCGTTCCTTTTAACTAACATATTAAATAAACTGAAATTTGCAAAGTTCAAAACTTAGATATCAATACAAATACGAAAAAGTACAAATAGAATAAGAGTTGTTTATTGAGTTTTGAAAATTAATTTATTTTTATACATGAAAGAAAACCGGACAGGTTGTCATGGAGGAATCAAGAAAGTATCACAGCGACATCTAGCTTGATTTCGGGGACTAATGCTTTATGTATTTAACACTATTAAAAATAGGTTGCGTATTACAGGCATCCTGTTAGGTAATATACGAATAAGGTTTATTTCTTAGAATTTGCAGACAAAATATGTTTAGCTTTAGTAAAATAACGTAAAGAAAATGTAACATATTTAGGAATTTAAATGAACGACAAAACGCCTTGTAACTTTTTGTCGCGACTAAATGAAATGAAATGATAATATCTTTATTCAAGTAGGCTAATACAAGCCCTACCACTTGTTCAGGACGTCTTTTAGCTGACAAGAAGAACAAGCGAAAGAAACTTACCAGCTCTTTATCATAAGTAATGACATTTACATAAATCATGTCATTACCAAAATAATATGTATTATTATCACAATAATAAATACAACTTTCAAAGTCTGTTGGACATAGGTTGAACATATAATTAGTCTTTATAGAACAAAGCGTTAAAATAATCATCAACTTTATAATAGCCTTTACTCATAAGTATGTTCTTTACATGAATTTTAAATTTATTTATGGGTAGGTCAACTACATATTGTGGAACTTTATTGAACATAGCAATGCATTTACCCAGAAATGATCCTCTGGTTTTCTGAAGTCTGAAGCTTGGAACGGCAAGTTTATTTTTATTACTTGTGTTAAGATTATAAACACTACTTATTATTATGAAGGAATCGTAATGTTTTCTTGCGTACATCATATTTTCATAGATGTATTGAGAGGCAACAGTCAAAATATTTATTTCTTTAAATATTTCTCTGAGAGATTCTCTAGACCGTAAATTATATAAAACGCGGACACCTCTTTTTTGTAGAATAAAACTATCTTGAATGCTAGCCGCAGAACCCCACAACAATAGACCATACGTCATTATTACACTATGAAAATAACTAAAATTTACCAATCTTGCCGTTTCAACATTTGTCAAGAGTCTAATTTTCTTAACAGCATATGGTGCAGAACTCAGTCTACTTGACAGTCGGGAATCTAGTGTAATACCAAGGAACTTTGTCGATTCCACCAACTCAACTTTTTCACTATTTACATTTATAAATGTATTAACATGCCTCACATTAGGTAACGTAAACTTTATGCATTTCGTTTTATTTGAATATAGCTTTAAATTATTACTGTCAAACCACTATAGAACATTGTCGAGAGCATCATTTACATCGTCAAAACAATAATTACCCTCTTAACTTTAAATTCTAAAGAGGTGTCATCAGCAAAAAAAGGGCGCTTGTGCACTACACTGAATTTTCAGGTCCTGTGGTCCGATATTTTCCGGTCCGATATGTACTTGTAGCCTGTGCACTGTCAGTAATTTTACCGTCCGGAATTTTAAATCGTTGTTTCCTACATTATAAACACACTGTCATAATATTTCATTGGAATCTTTTCTATTTTTGGTGAAAATTATTGTTAAAATTTAAATAGCCAAAAGCGCGCGAAAAACGCTGCTCTATGTAATGGCGCTGATCGTGACGTCACAGGCCAGTAAATATGTCAAATCGATAAGTAATAACTGTCTTTAGAGTAAATTGAAATAATTATTTAGAAGAGAAATTGAAGTCGTAGTGCGTATTTTTACGTCTTTATTTTCCTCTGCTCTGGTTTTCTTTAAAAAAATGAGCCATGAGTGGTGCGTAGTGCCACAATTTACTAATACTTCTATAAATAACAAACAAACTTCGAGTGTAGAAGAAAATAGATTCACAATCACAATAGTATAGTAGCTATATAGAGTAGAGATGGGTGATAAAATTAGGTAAGGATTCGCTAAAAGTATTATAACTTTTTTATTTCATATCGATACATTTGAAGGTTTTCTTTTTGGTTTCGCACTTTACAGCCTGTCGACGTCTTTCTGTGTTCTGTGCTGTCGACCTACACATGAATGAGACATTAGTACGATATAGAATGTTCTATTTTTTTTATACATGCATGTAGTATATCTGTTCACTAAATGCATGGCATTTGATAATTAGATATCAGATCCCGATGATTTTTTAAATTAGTTTTTAACTTGGAGAACAGGATATATCATCAAAATCGACTTTGTAATTTTAAATTATTATATTAAAGTTCAAGAAATGAGAAAAACATGTAAGTTGCTCTTTTTTCAAATTGCTAGCGTTTTCCCTATTTCTTGGATTTTTTAAAAAGCTTAGTATTCTTTCTTTCTTTCTGTATTTCTTTTTGGCAGTTCTTATCAATAGAAGCGGCAAAGTATTCTGTTATCAGTAAATTACTATAAAGTACTCTATACCTACAGGCATTGATATTTTATGTATCTTTCTAACACTACTTTGACATGACATCTGATGACGTCACAGGCCTGTAAACAGATTCGTGATTGGTTGTGACGACGACCAATTATAGGACGTTTTCGTCGTTGAATAAATTCCTAAAAATATTGCATTTTCTTTACGTTATTTTTCTGCAGATGTTAAGAAATAGGCTTTATGAGATTATTATCTATCAGGATGACCACAAAATGCAACTTATTTTCGATAGTGTCAAATACCTTATTCATGAGCCTGCGGAGTAGGCCTGGGGAAAAATAATCGACTTATGAAAAATCGATGTTTATTTTGGCTTTATTGTTATTTTTGATATAGTGATAATCGATATTTATTGTAGATTATAAAATGCGATATTTTATATGATGATTTAATAATAAATAAAGTTAAATATCACTGCATATGCTTTGGCAAAATCGATATAGTTCTAATATCGATACTTTGCTAGATTCTAGAATCGTATTAAAATTATCGATATCGATAACAAATAAGTATTGTTACGCTTAGACGCCTAAACAACTGAACCCATCTTAATGGAAATTAATATAGAAATAGACTTAACCTTAAGAAAGGACATAGGCTATATTTTATAACGAAAAATAGGTAATGAAATTTTTCATGGAAATTTGTCATTATCAAAATTTGTTTTAAGACAATTGATAAGATAAGTATAAATAAATAATTGATAACAGAAGTATTCTAAAAGAAAAATAATTCTGCTCAAAGAAACTATACCACGCGTATAAAATAAAAGCTAGTAAGTATATATATAAAGCAGCCAACCTACAATTATTATAGTTAAAACATGACATTTAAAACTTACAATAGGATGGCTGATTTAATTGTCATCGTACAGTTCATTTATTATAATTCTCCGCTTACACGGCACTAATTTCGATTTATTTACGAAATGGCGCCAACGAGTGGTCTATCTCTGTAATCGCTTGAAGTTTATTTAAATTGTATAAAAATAGCACGATTATAAATTTAAACAAGAATATAGAACATTATCAGTAATTTTATTCTATTGTCACAGATATTTTTAGATATTGTATGTAAATAATGATGTTCCTAAATCAGTAAGGGTATAAAAAAAAATTTACATCTGATAGTAGGCATACGATACTAGTAAAAAGAAATGCTTTCGTCTTGCCTCAATTTATTATGGTTTATGTAAAAAGACCCTGTCAGGTCATTATTTAGGTACCTTTCACTTATATGGGGATGAACCCAATATTTTTTCTGTCTTCTACGTCTTCGCACGTAGAGTAACAAAGAAAGCAATTACCGAAGTTCCAAAAATCTCATCGTACCTAGCATAAGTGACGTGTAGCTTCAAAGAGAGCTGCCCTAAACTGCGTCGCTCCGATCAGCGTCAGAAAAAACGGACAAGTGCACAAGCTACCCATCCGGGTTTTTCATGTCATTCCGGATCGCAAAAATCCGGATCGGACCTGAAAATTCAGTGTAATGCACAAGCGCCCTAAGAGGTTCTGTTTACCAGCATATGACGTCACACATAAATGGTAACAGGTATTAGAGATATACGGTATTTATACATATAATTTGCAGTTCATTTCTATAAACAAAACATAAATTTCTATTCTGTGAAATTGAAGACAAATGAGTGATTAAGTATTTTTCTGAAAAATGCTTATACAATCTACTTTGCCCCTGATATTCTGTGATGGGATTTGAAACCAGGACCTGATAGGACTAACAAATTCTTCATACAATTGTTACTTTTTCACTACTACAAAGCACTATTGATCAATTATAACAATGAGGAAATATATAAAAAATAAAGAAAGTACAAAAAATTGTTTCACTAGATGGCGGCACAAATAATAGAATCTAAATGTCAAGTATGAGGAGATATTTTAAAAATTAAAATTAGTTCTTTAAATCAAACTAGATGTCGCTAGCGATGTTTGGATCTTGACTATGATATCCATTCAAATTTTGTTTCCATTATCAAAAAGAAAGAAGACTATCGAAAATTAATAAATATGACATTGTTTCTTATAATATCTAACTTTCAAATTAATTTTAATTCATTTGAATCGTTGTTTATTATGTTACGTGTAAGGGAACGATGTTTGGTTTATATGTCAAC